GTTCTAGATAAGTAATAATTTTTCTTGTTGAAGAAAGCTGGTTTAGTTAATATTAACAACCTTTAGAGCAGGGGCAGGCAAAATACAGCCTGAGGGCTGCATCCAGCCCACCAGGGAATTCCATCTGCCCCATTGGACCCCGCTGTAAGCCCTGGCCCTGGGTTGCCCCTCTGCAAGATGGAGCCTCCATGCAACAGGTGCAGCGGTGGTTGCTAAGCAACCATGCTCCCAGCTAGAGGCCACTAGGGACTCTGCCTGGCATAGGTTTTTGCCTGGCCACCTTGTGGCCGAGGGGGAGATTCAGGTAAGGGCCTTCCCCCTCTCCTAGCTAGGGCCAAGGACTCCCATTGGGGGAAAGGGGCTAGGAGCATGGGGAGCTGTGTAATTTCGAGCCAGGCTGGGCTGGCCCCACACACTGTATGAGCTGCACATTATGCTGCCATCACATGTTACCAGGGACTTGGGTGGGAGCTGCGTGTTATGGAGCTGACCTGCACACTGCCACCACTTGTGGCTGGGGAGGGAGCTGTGTGCTATGTGGCCGTGTGGGGCTGGCCCTGCTCACTGCCACCATGTGCAGTTCCAGGCATTTGCACACTCTAGGGACTTAGAGGAGCCCCCGCCCCTGCATTTTCCCACCCCCACCAGCACCCTCCCACACGCCATACCACCCAAAAAACCCCCAAAAACCCACACCCAACACCCTCCCACAGCCACCACACACATACCCCCTTACCCCACACCACACAATATACAAGAGTAAAACTATATTTTGAGCCATTATGCAATCACCTCTAGATATACTATGCAAACATCACACAAATCTGGCCAAAAATATTTCTGAAAATAAAACAGTTATAGTAAGTGTTTGATTTTTTTTTAGTGTCACAACCCAAAGGGTGTGATTTTGTTTTGTGTGCTTCGGCACTGCTAAATTGTTCCCGCTAAATTGCAGCTTCTTTGCACGGTGGAGTTTTCTGCTGCAGAAGAGAACCCTGGTGCAAAAGAATTCCCGCCACCAGTAGCTTTCTTTTCTGTGCTGCAACAAAGAAATGCACCCTGCAATGCTCGTTGCAAAGAGTTCCTGCCATTTGTATGCTAATTTGAGCCCCATTATTGGCCAGTTCTAAATTATTCACACATGGCAGCTAGTGATTGGCTTGCTAGCTGTATAAAAAGCTTGAGTGGTTTCCGCCCAAGTTGGAGGACTCCACGAACACCAGGAGGAGGAGACTTCACAGTGTGAGAAGATCTCTAAGCGCTGCGGAGCCTATCGGACCCAGCACATTTCAAGCAGGCAACAGAGGTCTGATCAGCCTCTAGCCTCTCCCCGTCGCCGATAGATTCCTAGACGTATCCCTCCCTGTGCGCAAAAAGAGGACCCACGGAGCATAGCAAACTTCGTGTGAGTCTATTCCTTGCCAGCTGGAACAACTGACATAGTTGTTCAGACAACCGGACTACCTCAGAGCACGAGTTCCACGGAGCCTAGCAAACTTCGTGAGAGTTTATTCAGAGCTCTTTTGTACGAGTACTTTCTTCGGTTGGCACGACGGGCTCGCGGTTTAGAGCCTCCAACCGGATGGGCTAGAAGAGTGTTCATGGGAAGGAACTCTAGTCCGCCTCTTATCTTTTCTATCTGCAACTGTAACTCAAGCAAGTTTTCCTGCCTGCACCGTGACCATCTTTGGTGTAAGTAAACAATCTTTAAATCAACCACTACGCCTCTGTGACTAATTCTAGCCCGTGCGTGCCTTGCCGCCGCACGGTCTCCTCTGACCCCGCGTGCCCGGGCTGCTGGCCACAACCCGCGTGCGCAAAGACGGGTCCGCATATCGCTCCCGGCTCACACACGGCGACATGGATGGGATTGGGAGGCGGCCCGCACATTTAGTACATAATTTGTTTTTTTTCTCTGTTTCAAGACGACACCCCTGCCCCCAAATAAACACTTCCGGGTCAGGGTTGGGGGGATGGGGCGGTGTTTTTCTGATCCCAAGATGGCAACCAGAGAGTGGGGCATGTGTCAAGGGGCAGGGCTACCCTTGTGGCCCTTGACAACTCACCAAAAAACCTCATTAAGCGGCCCTCCAGCCAAAATTGGCCACCCCTGCTCTACAGGTTAAAGTGACCGCATTAAGCTTACTTTCACTGCTACTACATATACATCAACATTCCCAGCCTTCTAGCGAATATATATTTTATATACTGTAAAGGGATCAGTAAGTCAGAAGAGAAATCCAGACAGGAAAGTTTGTATTAATGACAAAAGAAAATTCAAAGTTATAGCTATCACTTCTGCTTGTGTAGAGTTGTAAGAACAGATTTTAAATATACAAATCACATGTCTGAATGATACATGAGCTCTTTAAAGACAGGGTGAAGGTTGAATACATTTACAGTATGTCTTTAAAATAAAAAGAAAAAAGGTGTGAAACTCTTGGTTTTCCCTGATGGAAGCACCATTTGTCAGATACTCATGAGTTACAAGATTCTTCATTATGAATTCATAGCCTGTTTTGAGAAGAAAGACTCCAGAAATGTACAAGTTGTTTTTTTTTTGTTTGTGTGTTTTTTTGTGGGGTTTTTTTTTTGTTTTTTTCTTTTTACACAGCATTATACAGACATTGCATCTACATACAAACTGAAGTTAAATAGGTGTCATCTAATAATTTCCCTTGTGCTTGTTTTTATTGCCAGCACCCCACATAACAGTACAAATCGGTCAGAAAATAGCAACAAGTATATATATTTATTTACAAGTAAAAAATATACCTTATGTTTCAAGCATTTCTGGATCTCGTGCAAGACTGAGACAATGCAAAAAAGCCAGAAAAAGAAGGGTTCAGGAAAGTTTACTGTAGCACTGCATTTGACAACTTCCAAATTGGCAAACGGTAAGAAAGTTGGTAGTTTGTCTAATAAACCTCAACTGGAGAATATGAAACCAGGATTAAAACAAGACTATATGCCGGAACTTTTCCTGCACCATTAGATATTATAGGGCTATACTTACTTGGACACACAGGACATGGGTACTTTAAAAAAAAAAAAAAAAAAAAAAAAAAATCAACTTTCCATATGCTCAGTAACTCTTTTTGATGTGTTAAAACCTCAGACTTTTTAAATCCATTCTGGAAAATGTTATATAGGTCACAAAATAAACCTTTATTTAACTCTAGTATGCTGTCAAATGAACTAAAAAATTGTTGCAATGAATTTGTATTATCCCATAAATTTAATAGACTAAAATAAAATCTTTATTTTACATATCTTTCCAGTTAGGATGTGTGTTGAATAATGAAATCTTGCCTTCTTATAATTTACCAATCAATGGTTGTTGGTAAGGCAAGGCATTCCCTTTCTTTAATCTCTCTCTCTCTCGAATGGGGAACCTTTCAATTTCAGTCAGTCATATTTCTACCTGGAAAAAAATCTACCATTTTAAGTAGCTTAAGTCACTTAAAATTAAGAGAATGAAAAATATTCCTTCCAGTTTTATTAGCTCTGCTCCCCCCCCGCCCACATCATATGGAAGATGGCCCGTTTCAGTGCTCTGTATTTGACTAGTTGCACAACAAATTTCATGCACTGCCTTAGTACACCACTTATGCTCTATTATTTTCTCTTCTTCCTTCCTTTGTGAAGGTGAAGGGTCAGGGAGAGAAAGAAGGCTACAATAAGGTGCCTACAAACAACAATAACATAATGAAAATGGTGAGAATTTTGCCATCATCTCGAGTCAAGAAAACACCCATGTCCTAGAAGAACTACTCATTGAAATCAGCAACAAAAGAGGATGATAGCATAAGACGACAATTTTCATGTTTCGAGTCTGTTTAAGAACATCCTTCATCCAAGGCCAGAAGTACAGTCTGGCAGTTTTGCATGCTGGGCAGTTGTGGTACACAGGGCAGTGACAGTAACAGTGACTAGGGCCCCTACAGCAGCAGCTGTTTTTATTCCTCTTCTCCTCCATGCCTCCTAAATCAGAATACAAGCCCAGAACCGTATTACATTACTGCCCAAGACCACTCCGTAGGATCATGGAATAAATGCCCTTGCTTACAATAGGCAATAAGAAGAGACTTTTTCAATCCCTGCGGCTTCTCAAGAAAGGGCCTTATTACAACGGTCAAGCCAGCAGTAGCAAAAGGTGACAGAGAACAGAAAATTCAAAAAACAAAGTTGTTTCCCACCCCTACCCCCTCGGGCCCAATTATTCTGCCTTGCTGAAAGACTGTTTAAACAAAGGGGACGGGGGAATTTCACATGAAGTTTAGAGTGGGATTTAAACATTTCCCCAGAACACAATATTTAGAGGATGGTTCATGACAAACTTAGTGGAATTCAAACAAAACACCCCTTAAAGTATGTTATCTGTGCATTATGATTTTCCTAGATACTACATGGAGTTGTAGTTTCTTTCAATAATGGATACAAAGCACAAGCCCACATTATTTAAAGAACCTGAGACAACCTAAACTTTAGTAACTTTTTTGAAATACACAAGTTTGAACTAGGGCATGTACCAACAAATCAGAAAGAAAAAGGCTTGATGAATGCCAGATTGAGCCACCAAATGTGATGATAGAATCTTTGTGTCTTGATTCACAAAATTCCTCTTTTGCCATATAAAAGGAGTCCTGATCTCCGTACTTCTATCAGGCAGTTTTCATTAGCAAACTGAAGAGATCTAATCCCGATCTAGGTTTACCAGACCACTCAGAAAGTACAACCTCCCAATTAGTCTAAGAGAGTTGAGGTGTGGACTATACTGAAAAAAACCCCAAAACCGAAAAAACTAGGATGAACAAAGTTTTCAAAAGTTTCCTAAAAATATCCAGTCCCCTATACAGAACACCTGTGACCCAAGAACATTGGAGGGATACTCTGAAACCTGCTTTTGAATTGCATCTCTTATCTACTGGAAGTAATGGACCAATGATAACAAATTTTGGTTAAAAATAAATCAAAGTAATTAAAAACTAATCACTTGCCTTGGAGATCAACTCATCATGATTAGCTAGGTGAGCTCTGCAGTGGATACAGCTGTAGGTTCGATGACAGTTTGGCAGGTAAGCCTGGAACGTTTTTGATTTTGTCATTTTTACCATCTCTGCTGGTGGTTCCTCACTCAGCTCAGGGCTGGCACTTGAAGAATTACAACTTTGCTGAACTCGCTGACAAAAGAAACACTGGAAAATGCAAGCAAAAGCCGTCGTTGTTCTGGAGTGTGTGTGGCACTTTCCACACAGATGCCACAAGAGAAACAGTCAACCTATCGGTGAACAAAGAAGAGTTATAAATAAGTTGTAAGAAGCCAAGGATAGTTAATGTAGTATATTCAATTTCTCTCTCATATTTCAGAAGTCAAAATAAAATGCATTTAACTACAATAAATACATTTTATTTTAAATTTATAAATTAACTGTAATAATGTATAATATTTTAAAAAGTGTATTTAACTTTAAATAACAAATAAATAAGTAGTTGATCCAATAAGAGACAGCATGCTAAGAAATCCTTGCCTCAAATAAAGAACATAGCCATTCAGACCAGAACTTTCTAGATCATATTACTGTAATGAAATAGAGCCTCTTGATTCCAGATCATTGGCTTCAGTTCTGTACAGCTCAGTAGTAAATGATTCTTCTCTACTCAATGGTTTCAACTAAATGGCATTCCTAATGAATCAGATGTCCACATAACTCCCTCCACTCATATTCTCATTGTATGCGTACACATGGCTTTTCAAATTCACACCACCATCCTAATGGACATTTTAAGTTAGGAAACTAAGTAGAAAGGCAAAAAAAACAGATTGAAAAGTTGGTTACCATTAGGTCCATCTCTTTAGTCAACTCTACAGAAAACGAAGAGCAAAAGAGCATGAAATCCTGCACTTGTCACTACTTATGACAACCTACAAAATGGACAGACAGGGGCCACAGTTTTTCTGCCAGTTTCCAGTGCATTTCACAGGTGCTGAAGTCAGAGTCTAATAAGGTAGATGATAAAAAGCTCAACCAATAAAAATCTGACACTGTTTAAGCATCAGAATATTTCATCATGGTAAAAAAACACTACCCTTTGACATACTGCAGTACAGCCTCTTAAGTCTTTTTCACTATGTGAGAAAAAGCATAAAAAGCATACAGTATTTACTGGCCAGATAGCCATAGGTCAGAAAAAAGTACACTTCTCTATTAGTAACAAACTAGTAATCCTTGGATTTGTTTCCTCTGTGCTTGCTGAATAAATGCAAAAGTTTATATTCAGCCCACTGCACCTTAACTGCTATAGAGCTCCAACTATAAAGTTACTTGCTGTCAACTCTTCCTATACAGGAAAGTTTGCTTTAAGAGAAAATGAACACTAAACACAAGAAACAAAACTAATTTACCACCAAGACATTTTCCACTTTAAGCCCTTCCCTGTGCTCACTGCCTCTGCCTTACCTCTTGGATACTTCCAACACTTGTTTTCTAACCACTTTATTCAATAACTTGAATGAAGCACCACCTGAAAGAATTCACATTACTTTAAAACTGCAGAAAGATGTGTTCTACAACACCAAGGAAAGCTTGAGTTGTATGGTTTCTACTAATACCATTAAATTTCTCAAGGAAAAAGAAAACAAACAAAAAAAACTTATAAAAGTGATCACGGTTCAAAATGTCTTGGGGGCAGGGGGAGGGAGGAGAAATCTCACACACAAAATGTGTGCACACACAGGGAAACTACAAGCACTAAACGCATCAGCTCTGTGATGCTTCACCTTAAGCTAAAAAGAGGCATGGGTGCATTTTTAATGAGGCTAGAGGACATCCTTAAATTCTATTCATAACCAACTCCAAGGCCACAAAAAAGCCTTCTGAAGACGCATAGTGGAATATATGCATAAAAAAAAAAAAAAGAGAGAGAGAATAAAGGAAACAAGGTTATCAATTATAATACTTCTGACCTGTAGATCTGCATTCTTTTTTGCATTGCTTTGCATCTTTTATTTCTTTTTAAAGATAGCAGAAGTGGAAGAGCTTATAAGGATGAAATAGGGGATTATGCATTTATAGTCTTGGGACACTGCCCCAGTATTTGCAAATTTTAAATATGGTAATGAATCCAAAGACCAGAACGAGCATACACTAAATCAGGGGCGGGCAATTATTTTGGGCAGAGGGCCGCTTACTGAGTTTTGGCAAGCCATCGAGGGCCGCACAACAGGCAGCCCAGGCCAGATAAATATTAATTTTCTAAATTTTTTAGGGGACCTGCAGGCCGGATAGAACGGCCTGGCGGGCTGCATCTGGCCCCCCAGCCACATTTTGTCCACCCTTGCTCTAAATCCAGATAAAATAGCAGATTCTCTAGTACTGCAGAATTGGTTCCAAGTTTTTAGTGAAACCTCTTAAATTAAAGTGGTCATAATAAATATATACATTATTTTCCTGCTCTTGCCAACAACTAGGATGCATGTCCAAAACAAAATGCCCCCACCTCTCTCTGTTCTCAATTACTTAGTCTGGCAGCAGTGGCTATGTCATAGCAGTGTGCTTTATAACTTATTACATCATTACTGCCAAGCTGTATTGCTAACAAAAAGGCAAGATTCCAAACATGAATTGATCAAGTCAATACAGCGTTCTCTTCCTGAGCCTTCAGACATAGCTCCAGTGACTCTGCTACTGCTCATCATCACTCTGTCAAAAATGAATTAAATAAAGCCCATCTGCTATCAGTTTCCATTATTCCTACAAAAGCAGGAAATGCATCAAGAATCATGCTCTCTGTACAAGGATCTTTTGTGATATCTTTCATCACAGCTACAACAACACCCCAACCCTACTCTCAAGAACCACGGCGTTCATGCTGCTACCTGGACTACAAATGGGTTTAAGCAATAATCTACAAGTAGCTTTGAGAAGTCTGGGTATTTTGAGAAAAAGCTGAAAGTTAAAGTCTGAAGCTTTACACAAGCCCAAAACGATTCCTGTGAACCAACATGGACCCCTCTTCCTCAAGTGATTCCTAGGAGGGGGGCAAAAGCAACAGGAAAAAAAAACAACACCCCAGCTTGTCGTTGGCAAGGCTTCCAGGAAGCAGAAGCTAGTAGTAACAACATGCCTTCACAGATTACTGGAGACGGGTAAGGTCAACTTGGCTCTTTAGCCTTACTGGTTCTTTGCTTTTTCCTTCCAGTCCCTTTCTCTGTCCTTCTGCTGTCAGCATTGCTTCCCTCCTTCCTTTTACATAATCAGTGATACTTACCATAATTTCAATTCTTTCACTTTGTTCTGTTAACTTGCTATTGAGGGCTGGAAATTCAGACCATCTTTCTGTCTTTCCCTCTCCATCCCCCTTTCTCTCCTAAAGGTGACAAACTGCCTTCAATATTTGTTGCAAAAGCACTTCAATCTAAACTCCTTTAACTGATTATTAGCATATTGGCTTATTGCATATTCCTTCTGAGAGGTAGTCTGACACAAAGCTAGTGACAGCCAGATTCAGAACAGCTTTCCAAAACATAGCTGTTAGCAAAGGATAGAACTGGCATGCTTTTTTCTTAATAAAAACTCTCCCAACAAAGACTTGTACTTCCTAGTTAAAACAAGAATTAATTTTCTCCTATCAAGATTCAGAACTCAGATGACTTTAAGAATACATCATCTTTGACATTAATAGTTAATAAGAGCGAATTCCAAGAGTGAAATATAATGCTTGAGTATAAAAAGGCTATCACTAAATATTAGTTGTAACCTTTACACCCAATTAGAAGCTGCATCCATACATAGTCCTGCTTCCAAAGGGAGAGGAGGGGGAGTATACACAATCATTTGGAAAACAAATTTTAATCCAAAGCAAGAACACTTGGAAAATGCTTCCCTGAAGAAGAGGGAGAGATTATGGAAATGGTTTTCATTCACATAATTATGCTTGTAGCAGTCTATAAAAAAATGCAGTCTAACCATTTTTTAAATTTACTCCATGTATTAACCTTAAAAACGCTCCAAGAGTTAGGCAACTGCTTTAAATAACAAATATAGTATTAATATAATTAATCAGTATACTCATTAGGAGCAAAGATCCCTAGCATTACCCACCTCCTAACAGCATTAAGAATTACACCATCAGACCAGGGGTTCCCAACGTTTGTGCCCAAGGACACAAGGAAAGAAAAAGCAGTGGGCATCAACATGAATATTAAAGTTTAGAATTCAGATCAATCTGATCATCTTATCTAGAACTTAAAGTTACATTAGATCTGCAACTTTAAAATGCAGCTTCCCTTTATGTTGTATTCTTTTGAAGTTTTATCCATGGCACCCACAGGCACAGCGTTGGGAACCGCTGACCTAGACACTATACATAGTGTCATTCTGGAGCACATGCAATGTTTTGTTTTCTTCATTTTATTAATCTCAAGGGAATGCAAATGTGTTTTATATGTTCTCATATGGGCTTACTTTCATTTGCCACCTGCAAAAATCAGAGAGGGCTAGCCACAAAAGAGTTCAGACAGTGTGATTCTGAATGCCCAAAGGCATTAAAAGCAAATATTACAATTTAATGGAAGACTGTTAATTACTGAAGCTCCATTTTAAAAATCATGCTCAGTTTTATCCATATATTCACTACTGCTCAAGTTGGCTTCCCTCAATTGCTAAAGCACTAACATTTTGAGCACGAAAGCACTAACTGATTTTGAGAACTATAAAATCTACATAGCCAAAGAAACATAGCATTAGTTTTAAATTTACAATTCATAAATTGCATTCTTTCAATATTAGATTTGCTGCCATCCAGCAGCATGACATCACTCAATGGGAAGTACAAATTTGCTAGACAAGTACCAGCCAATCCTAACCAAGTGGGCAGTCCCTGCCTTGCTCCCGGATGTGTAAACAAACAGAGAGGAAGCATGTTAAGCAGGTGCAGTCTAGAGACAGTACTATTGTCCACCATATAACTAAGGTCACTACAGAAACCTTCAATCTCTATAAGAGAGTCTTTCATCCAGCCTTGCTTGGAAATAATAATAATAGTTTAATAGTTGATAAATTACTGTTTAGAGCTTGTAATGCTTGCAGTAAAGAGTATGCCGTCTCCATACAGTTCTTTACAGCTTGCAGTTAACAGGGAGGTTACCTATAGCACCGAGTACTTCCCCCAGCAGTTGCTCTTTCATGCTTAAGAAAAGCAATTCGCTATATTCTGGTTTTAAAACTCCTTGGCGTTTACCTGTTACAGAACAAGGCAGCAAGGAACTAACTCC